GCTAAACTGATTTGATATGTGAGAGCGAAGATTTTTTCAAATTTATCAAACCTTCTTGGGGCATTTTTTCAGTTGCCTGATTAACTTGTTTTAAATATAAATCTTCCAAGGAAATATTTATTGTATTATGAAATGTTAAGCATTGCTATAATTTGTTTTTTCATTGTTTTTTTTTAAATTTTGTCTTTTCGATCAACAAATTTTTGATTCATTACAGTATAATTTTAATTATTTTTTATTTAAATTCAACTAACCACAACAAAATAACTTACACTCAACACATGTGGCTGTCGGACAATCCTCTGTCTTATTCCATGGACAAGGCAGGTGTACATATTCGCATGTCTTTCCTTTGGGACACGGAGTCTAATGATGACGATGAAGAAGATGGTGAAGACGACGACGATTATGATAATGACAACGTGACGTAATAATGACGCGTCATATGATGATGATGATGACGACGACGATGTTGATAAACAAATAGACAATAATATTAACAATGATAAAATCACTGTGGCAATAATTTCTCTCACCGAATCAAGACAAGCCCCCGCACAATATCCACAGAAACAGTTTTCAGTGCTAGGATCTTTGTAGGAACTGATGATATGGCATATATCGTTTATAGCTGGACAAGGTGGACATAGATCTGAGGAGGAAATGGATGGGATGACATAAGATGTTGACTTTGTCATCATCGTCGTCGAAACATTATCATTTTATCGAGATTATCATCATTATCATCATCACCTTATCATCATCAGTGTACAGTATAAAATAATAGATTATATCTTAATAGTAATAATATTATAATAATGATAATAATAATGGAAACATATTATATTTTTTCACTCGCCAAAATATGAAATTAAATGATAAAAAAATGTCTAATAAAATGAATTTATAATAATTTAATATTAATTTGTTGAATAATAATAATAATAAAAAAAAAACCTGCACTGTAATAAGCAGCATCCACACACAGCAGAACAAACAGCATGGATAGCATGACGATACCGAATCTGTCTGTTGATAGTTTTTGAGTAAATTCTTGATACCGACAATGCCAACACTGACAATACCGACACCAGTGTATAATTTCTCGCATTCAACTCCTTGCTATTTAAACTGATTTCCAGCTTGCTAGTTCACGTCAATCGTATGTGATTCATGTACCGGCGCGTGCATTGTAACATTTGGCATGTTAAATAAAGATGTATGAATAAGTGAAGGTGATGTTTGTTTGTTTGTATGTATGTATGTATTAATTTATTTCTCGTACACATTATTATTGTTATTATTATTATGAGTGTTCGTTTGGCGCTTTTTCAAATCTTCTCGAAAACGCCATTAACTAAAAATCTTAATATGTCTAGAGAAAATAAATAAGCTTTCAATTCTTTACGAAACAGGGAGTGAACCGGGTTGTGGCAAACTATTCCAAATCATCGATCCAACAATAGCAAAATTTCTTGATCCTATTTTCAATTTAGCCAAAGGAGCTTTTAGCTGATCTAAATCATCTGAACGCAATCCGTTTAGGACGTATTCATATACGTTGTTTGTGTGTCGCTAGTACCTGTTAGTTTTAGAAGGGCGAAACTGACCTTTACCCTTTTACCATTATCGAATTGCGCAAGTTCAAATGCAATAGCGATCCCAATATATTGTACATGATAAGTTGCCTTGCGAGTTTTAAAACTGAACAGTCTGATACTGGATGAATGACGGTAGTGATGAAGATAATGACGATGATATCAATCAGAATGAAGATGTCGATGAGTACGATCATGAAGATGATGATAAAAATAATGGTTAGGATGATGACGACGATGGGTTTGGTGAGATGTTACTTTGATGATCATCGTAAACATAGTTGCGTGATAGATCAACTCAAATTTTTTTAAGAAGAATTGCTATTATTTATTATAATTTTTATTATATTGATTATTGATTATATTATACTGATATTATTTATTATAATTTTTAAACAAATGAATGAAATTAATCATAAATTAAGTAGAAACGTTTTGGTATCTATTGCAGTAAAAATTTGTTTGAAATGTAGAAACATGTTTTGTATGTTGAAAATAATTAAATTAATACTTGAAAAATAAATTTGGTTAAAAAGTTCATTTTGATTAAATTGAAACTTTGTTATAATCTGTAAAAGTGTTTTTTCCCGCAGATCGTAAATTATGGTGGAATAAATATAAAAATAATGCGATAATGTTCATACAAATGATAACAGTTATGATGATAATCATCTTATAGTGATCAATCATAAAATGAACGTAGAAGAAATCGCGTGTCGTCTTTTGCTTTTGACATTTAAACCTCTTACTCTGTAACTCACTAAGCCTCAATATATTTAACAAAAGTTAAATACGTATATGAAAAAAAATGTTATTGATGAAATGAGTGTCATTTCAGGGATGTTAATACTATGACGGTCGTTGTAACCATTTTTATAATTTAGAAAATTGAATAGAAATATAATAAAATAAAATTAAAGTAGATAAATATCATAATAAAGTAGATACTCAACTCACAAACAGATGAAATAAAATATAAACCAAGATATCAAAACCAACTTATTTGGCTAATTGATCATAAGCCAGTATTTCATGTTCTCTAGGCTGTCTTCGTACGCTCAAAAAGGAAATTAATTTCTATAAACATTGAATTATTATAATATTTAATATATTATAATAGAATATATAATAAAATTATTTTTATAGTTGGAAAAACTGATTTCAATAAACCATTTTTGCAAAGTTTTTATTTATTCATGTTTGAGCAATCTTTTCTCCATTTATGAAATTCACAAACACCTCATATTCACTTCATTTTATTAATATATAAGAAAAAATTACCTGAGTGTTTGACCATTCTTAGTTGTTTTTCTATTGTATATAATTGTGTAAATTTTGTAGCCTTGTTAATCATACGGGGCAAAAAATTTGTTGGTCTAAATTTTGTTTTAAGTTCCACCGTGTAAGTGCCTGTGGCAACCGTTCATCACAATCTGTTTGAGAGTCCTCCACTACTTTAGCCAGCCTCGAATTTAACGTACTGTGGAACCTTTCAATCGCACCATTTGAAGATGGATTATAAGGGGACACATTTTACGTCGCTTCATACTTACGTAGCTGCGAATTCTAATTTGTCTGTTTGCTGCCAGTACGGCTGATCTTTGCGGAGGTTCGAACTAACGCCACATTTATTTCCTTCCAACTGTAAACATGCGATGATTCAAGCGATCTTGAAAAAGGATAACTCAGATGCAAATGAGATGAGTAACTATAGACAATCATCAAACTTTTTCTTCATTTCAAAGGTTTTGGAACGTGTCGTTTTGGATTTTCTGACGAAATATTTAAGGTGAAGAATTTAATGCCAATCAACCAATCGACCTATAGACGCTACCATTCAACTGAGGCTGCATTGCTTCATGCATTGTCAAACTTGTTTACGAGTATGGATAATCGGAAGATACTCTTCTTTCTTGATACGTTTTCTGCATTTGACTGTGTTAATCACAACAAACGTTTTGAAAAAGTGCATAATATTTTTGGAGTGTTCGAAACAAAACTTGCATGGTTTGAGTTATACTTAACGGGTTGAATTCAAATTACTTAGCTTACAAAGAAGGCCTCAAAATTGAGGTATTTTATAGATGGAAGTTCCTTAGTACTAAGCTAACTTAAATTTTATTTCCGCATCATACGGACTATGTGTTTTAGTTTGAGGTGTTTTTTAAAATTATCTGAAATGGAGAATTTGCGGTATAAATTTGTTTATTATAATTTTAAAAACAAAAAAAAACTATAATAATAATGAATAATATTAATTTGTTTTTTTCTTGAAAAAAATAGAAATGTGAACCAAAATAGAGCAAAGTCCATTGAGATCAGCAAGCAAGGCATGAAATCGTCTGTCGTCTCACTGAGAGCCGTTTAGCATTTAGCATCAAACTCACTCTTTGCAATTATTTCAAAATGGTTGGAACGCAAGTGTACTTTGATATGTGATTTAATTTTATGAATGAAATTTAATTAGTTCGTAAACAAATATTCCATAAAACTTTGCTAATTTTTTTTCTTTCAAAAAGTTTTTCATATGTGTTATTTGAATGAGTTGATAGTTCAAAATAAAAATTGTTCCAGTTTTGTTCTTCCAAAAAAAAATCATTCCATACCCGAGTACTTGTTAAATTAACACAGTGAACAACTTCAAAAGCAGTAGAACCACAAAACCGCTCAATGAAGGAAGGTGAAAGTGTTTTTGATTCTCGGGAAATAGTGACAGAACGTAGCAGTACTTGAACGTACTCACTCATCCTTACCTACGCACTTCCTTTCGTGACCAACCTTGACAGAATTACTTTCATTAATTTAGTGTTCGTTCAAATAATATTCAACGCATAGTTTTTGAATTTGATTTCTAAATATTCTTTACAATAAGACTAACAAGAGCATTTGTGAGAAGATTTTTGGCGTCTTTGAGAAGATTTGAAAAGACGCCAAACAAACACTCATAATGGAAACTCTATTATTTCAGCTAAAGTCGTTAAAATGAGGGAAAAAAGTAATTAACAATGAAATAATTCAATAAATTAATATTAATAATAATTTTTATAATCAGTTTTTTCCGTATTTCAAACTTATAAATATATTATCCGCTAAATAAAAAAAAATTATTATTTATTTATTAATTACAATTCACTTTTCAATATTTCTTTAGGTTTCAACAACGGTCATGCAGTTGCGTGTAAACAAACGTAAAACAACGCATCCCGCGAATTTTTATCAAATTCTCACAACTCTTCAAACTCGATGTTAAAATGAACATTTAATTTCGTAACAACAAGTCGAATAATTTTAACAATATTTATTTGCAAAAAATTTTAAATGTTCAGCTCATTTATTGTTTAAAATAAAATGAAACTTTTATTCAAACAAAAAAAATTTGGAAATCGGAGATGGGTAAGATTTTTAACGAACAAAATCAATAGGACCGTGGCACTGGTACACAAATTCGCCACCTGGCACTATGCTGGATGAACACTCTTGCCCCTCATTGCATAACTGTGGATCGTGATGATGATGACGATGATCATGTTGGTATTGATGATTATGATGGCTATACTGATGATGATAATGATTATTATGACGATGACGACCATGATGGTGATATTGATGATTATGATGATGATACTACTAATATTTTAATTATTGAAGTGTTTGTAACCGCAAAGTAATTTTTAAAATAGAAATTACATGTATGTTATAATGAAGATCAAAATTAACGATGACGAAGATGCTGATGAAGATGGTGATAATATTCGAATTATAATAATGTCAATAATAATGAAAAGGATGCTACAAATAAGAAAATAATAATGAAAATTTTGCTACTGGTATCAGTATTGTAAATGAAAAACCAATGAACGGCTTTCTATTTTAAATCACTAGAGTAAACAAAGACAACCGTCTTAAAGGTGTTTTATCAAAAGACAACAAAAGACAGCAAACTAGTTTGATATAACATAGATCCTTTCTTACTTCCTTGCACGGATCTTCACACTGGCATGTATTGCATCCGTTGGGATCCTTTTTGTACCCAGTTTTGGGACATTTTGTCTCACATTTCCTTACCTCGCAATTCGTAACTGAATAACAGAAATGGTGTTCGGAGTTTATGCGATGTTTTTCTTTTTCATTTAGAACATTGATAATTTAACATAGTAACGAAGTCAACGAGATTTTACTTATCACCATCATAATTTCCCATTTTTAAGCTTAAAGTAATAGCAATGAAATAACCGCAAAAAGAGCATTTTAACTCACATTTGACACATTCGGAAGTTGGACAATTCTTGTTCTTATCCCATGGGCACGGCAGGTTTTTGTATTTGCATGTGGTTCCTTTGGGACAAGGTTCCTAATGATGACGATGATGATGAAGATGATGATGCGTGTCTAGAAGATGATGACGATGACGACTTTGATAAGTTGGATAACAATATTTATCAAATAAACAACAAAAATGATAATGATAAAACCACTGATTATCATACCGAATCGACGCAAAACCCTTTGCAATATTCACAGAGACATTTTTCAGTACCAGGATCCTGGAAGTAGCGACTGACGTCGTGGCATGGAGAGTTCAAAGGTGGGCAAGGTGGGCATAGATCTGAGGAGGAAATGAGTGGTTAGACGGGATAATAAATTTGTACAGTTAATAGTCGCCATCATCGTCATCTCCCTGACAAACATTTTTATCCTCAGCATCGTTATCCTCCACAAGGTACAGTATAAAATAATAGATTACATCTTAATAATAACAAATTTAATTATAATAGTATTAATGAAAGTCATAAGAAATAACAATATTACTTGCGCTGGAGTATGCAACAGCCACATACAACAGAACAAGCAGCACGGATGATGATGACATGACGATACCGAATCTCTCTGTTGATAGTTTTTGAGTAAAGTTTGATACCGAAAATACCAACACTGACAATACCAACACCAGTGTATAATTTCTCGCTTTCAGCTCCTCGCTATTTAAACTAATTTTCAGATCGTTAATTCACGTTAATCGTATGTGATTCACCTGCTTGTGAGTGCGTTGTAATATATCGTACGTCAGTTAGGATGTATAAAGTGTGTGAAGATGATGTTTGTGTGAATGTTTGTATGTATACATACATGCATACATACATACATAGGTTCGATTGTTAGATTACGTCGGTTGAACTACCTTCTTTTTAACTTCTAATTCTCGAGAGAGATGGAGCAGTCGCTGCTCGCGATCTTGTTCGATTGTTAGATTACGTCGGTTGATGCCAACATACATAGGTACATACATACGTACATGCATATATACACAAATACATACATATATATATACATACATACATACATACATACATACATTAAGCGCCTATGAGAATGTTTTTAATAGGCGCTATATAAATGATCATATAATAATAATACATACATACATACGTACTTGATGTTTGACGGTTCAGTGTCACTCATCATGTTTTGGTTTTAACATACATACATCCATACATACATACATCCATACATACATACGTACACACACACATTTGATCTCTTTCAAAAAACAATATGACATAAATAAGTTGTTGTTAATGATTAAACTGACTTGAGAGGCGACATATTGCTTAGATATCTACAAACTTAAAATAACCGATGTGATTTGAAAACGATGATGAAGAAAAAAATTATAGTGATGATGAAGAAGAAAGTTAGAGTGATGATGATGAATATGATGGTGATGATGTTGACGGTGATCACAAAGATTGTGATTATAGCGAGTATGACAAAAATTCTAAGGATGATGATAACGAAGATAATATTCACGTTTATTAATATGATAAAGATTATGACCTCAACCTATTCATTTTTTTTAATGGGATCAGGTTTATTGATTGGAAAAAAACGATGTTAACTTTTCTCCTTCTTATCCTGATCTGAAGTAATTCACTGAACATCTGTTGCTTGCAATAAATTTTTTTTTTGCTTGCAATTAAATATGCATACCTTTCTGTTGTACAGAAATGTTATGGGATGATTTTAAATCAGTAAATGAATAATTGAATAAATAAATAAGTTAATAAATCTTAATAAGTGAATAAAATTTATGTTAATTTAATTTTTCACAAAAATGTATTTTTTGTTAACCTCCAATCTCAGATATGCAATGCTTAATTCAAAAACAAAAGTATAGAAATTATTATTTGGAAAAAAATTTGACTCTATAAATTTTCTAAAAAAATCATTGTAATCATTTTGATAATTTAGAAAATTGAATAAAAATATGAAAGAATAAAATAAAAATAGATAGATATCATGATAAACTAGATACTCAATTCACAAACAGATGAAATAAAATATCAATCAAGACATCAAATACAGCTTTATATCGGATATTAATAAATTTTTATTGAAACCTACTTTTTAATATTCGTGGCAAAAATAAACTCGCATACCTGTTCAACATTGAACTATCTAATACATGAATTTATGCAAGACAATAACTGATGTTTGTAACAATAAATAATAAATATAGTAAAAAAAATAAATAAAATGATAAAAAAATCAATTTTTATTGATACCTATTTTAAATATTCGTGACTAAAATAAACTCACATGAAACTGACAGAAAGTAATAAAATGGTAATAAGCATCGATGGTAACATTATTATTATTATTATTATTATTATAGAACTTTGTGAAGATTTCATTTACACGGTGTTGAGGAATATTTCTTGCGATTGGCTAGGATATTTTTGCATTTGACGGTGGAAACAAGATCAACTCTAAACTTTATACCATCTCACTGATAGAGTTTTTTTTTGGAAATGTTGAAAAATTTTGTATCATTGTCGTTCACATTATATCCAAAAAACTTTTGAAGCATGTCATATTTCACGTGTAGGCTTGCAATGGTTATAAATCCGCTGAACTTTTTCAGAAATGTTAATTCTTCACAAATTTTTTCTTGCAATTTATTGGATCGGTTACAGAAAACCATTATGCCGGACTATTCAAATTATTTGAACCTATTTAAATAAAACTTAAGCGTTTCTCCTTGGGATGTCTCACATTTTATTTAATTAACTTTACCGAATAATTTATAAAAAAAAAATTATAAACAATTGTTAGTCTTTATCGTGTTGCAAAAATTAAATTGTTTTGAAAGATTGCAAAATTTTACAAAATCACTCGAAACTTACCATGGCGAATAAAATTGTCATCTGAAGCAACTTGTTACCTCGTACCATATTAAACAATGAAAAAGATTAGGCTTAGCCGGCGGAGAGAAGCGTTTTTTAAAAGTTCTGATTTATTCCAACATACATCATATAACCTAATTTAATTTCATGACAAAATTTTACACTTTAAGAAAGATTATGAATTAGTAACAAAAGAGTAAGTTTGTTCACATTTATTGAAACTCCTTTATTCTTTATTAGGAGTTGGATTATAATATTCAATTGTTTATATTAAACACTTAGCCAACAATTTGACGAATGTTTTAATTCTGATCAACATAACATAGTTAACGATTTTCAATGACAGCTTTTAGAACATAAGCTATAAATTGAATAATAAATTTCTAACAATGTGTCAAAGTTATTCCCTTTGTTAAAATTACCCGAACGATAAATTCTAACGGTACCGTTAGCCAATTAGCACACAACGGTCACCGTGTTACATTCAATAAGATAGTTTATCTAACTTGTCTATAATTGATTGTTTGAATTCTGGGTGAAGACATAAAATAAGACGGGTAGCCAATTTGAACATTGATTGAATATTATACTTCCGTTCACTCCATTGATTACATCAAAGTTTATTTGGCGATGTTAAGCGGTCCAAGGGTAATAAATATTATAACATTGATTTCTTCCATCAACACATATATAAGCTAGAAATAATTCCAATTTGCCATACCATTCTCTTGATTCTAGTCAAGTTGTCTTAACATTTTCGAGAAAATATTTACAACATAAAGTTGATTCGAAAAGCCTGAACTGAAATGGCAAGACGAGTAACATTTTTGCTATTCAACGAGACGGAGCAGAGTTACCAGGTCTGCAGTAACACTTCTGTTATAGGACATCCGTTCAAACTTGAGGAGAAAATTGTTGACTTTCCATTTAACACTACACATAACGTAAAACAAAATTCAATATTGAAGAAATCAAGTAAAACAATTGAATATAGGGAAGGAGTAAATCCTACTTATGCAACGATAAGCCAAGACAAAACTCTTAATCTTTCTGAAAATTGTTCAACTTCAAATTATGGAAAGGAACCATTGAAATTATTGTGCACCTGTTGTTCATACGGTGAATATAAAAATTTCAACAACACGAGCAACAGTCAAACAGAATGTATACAAAAAGCAAGAAATCTTCATCGAAACGCCTGTCCAACCTCATAAACAAAAGAAGAAACAGCCTCAACAGTTCGTTGTCAAAATGTTTCCAAGTTGGCACAAATGCAGGCAGCGATGATGCCATCAATGAAATCACATTCACATCTAACGAAGTGAGCAACAAAACTGAATCTAGCTGCTCATGGAACTCTTCAGCTGACACCACTGTAACATTAGTTCCGTTCTTTTCTTCTACAAGTTCGGAAATATTTGAAAGCCTGCAATACATTGATGACGACGAAGACGGAGGAAACGATAATAATGATCACCGTTGTGCAGAGCAAACATCACAAAGCATCTCAACCAACAGCAATTTATCGGATCATCGTATCAGCCACACAAACGACACTAGATCACCAAAGACAACTTCAACATCAGCGGATGCAGCCAGAAATGATTTGAGAAACTATTTTACCGACGCTTCCAGGATAACAATTCATTCCTCAATTTTTCCAAGCAACAACACCTCGAACATCAACTGCAACAACTCAACTGACAATTGTTACGAAGTTAACTGCGACCCGCCTGGCTGCTTGATTGATAACATCTGTACATCTCACGAGTTACATTTTAAATGCCCTTGGTGTGCAGCTGTAAAAACTCTCCAGCCTGGACTTAATTATTACTACTTGTTGAAGCACATCTTCAGCGAAGATCAGCCAGAAAAAATAATAGAAAAACTGGAAACTTGCATTTGTCCAACAGTTGCTGATGGTAATCAGGAAACCGACACAGAAGTGAAAATCAAAAATCCTCTGGCTAGAAGAGTGGCAAAATCTCTCGTTAATAAATTTCGACGTTTGACACAGCAGAATGTTGTAAAAGTGAAGGCTTCATCAAAGCAATGCGTTTTGTAAATAGTGTGCAAACTTCATGCTGTTGTTTCTTTTCATGACATTGTATTTTTTCCAAATTTTTCGTGAAATTAATTTTTCTATTTTGAACGTTATAAAAAATTGTTTAAAAAATGTTAGTTTTGTTAGATATAACAGTGATACACTAGTCTAAATATTAAAACCGCAAGGCTTCATCTGATACGGTACATGCAGTTCATACATTCAAGATGCGTCCCCAATGAGAACGTTGAATGTAAAATGTATAAGCAAAGTGTTTAAACTTAAAAATCTAAATTTTTACCAGTTTAAAAAATTTGGTCAACTTTAACATTTTCAAAGTTTCAAACATGAAGAAAACTTTTAAAAAAGTATAGTTGGATACACGGATATATATCTATGGTTGGATACCAATAACCTGGATTGAAATTACAAAATAAGTGAATTGAAGTCTTGTAATTGGAGCCACAAATTTTGAATTATTTTTTGACGTAAATTCGTACAGAAAAGTTTAAAAACAAAAACAGAATAAATTTAAAATCGTGAAGAAAATGAAATTTTCGTTGTCATTAAAATTAACGATTTTAACTGTCTTCACAATTAGAAATAGATTCTGTTTGTAAAAGTTTTTACGTAAATATTAGCCAAACATTTTATCTTAAATTTAAAAAATAATTTTCCCAAAACTATCAATTCAGCTATTGGAGAAGAATTTTTTAACTTAACATACTACGTTGGAAAAAACAAACGAATCAACACTGATGACATCAATGGAGATGTAATGATCATACATTTTATTGATTCTTTCCAAGTTTTAAAAATGATATAGTAAGATTAATTATAAAAAGGTTAAAGGTCGGTTGCACTCTTGCTAGGTTCAAAACAGCCAACGATACACAGCTTTTGGTCGTTTTCGAACTCGGTCACTGCACGTAATGCGAAACAGATACAGGCGACTTAAACCACTAAGCTATCAAAACGAAGTAATAAGTATTTGCTCTTAATATTTACAAAATATAATAAAAAGATTCAATGTAAAATCAAACCTCAGAGCCATCCCCACCTGAAGATCCAATTCATGAAAAACAACACCAGGCAATTTCAAATGCTATTGCGCTCGAACATGTAACATTGTCATTTGGATTTTTGATAATGGCATCGAAATAGGTAATTTTAACTTTATTAAACTTTGTATCAAGGCATATATTGGCCAGCACTTTTGCAGTGTACCTTGTTGAGGCAGACAACAAACGAAAGAAAATGCCAAAATTGGTATCAAGTTCATTATAATATGAAAACCTTAATATGTAACATTGAAACGCTGTTTTTAATAACTAATTTTTGTAACTTTTGACTGTTTGGTTGTAATACTTAGTTTTATATTTAATTGAAATGTTTTTAATCCAAAAGAAATTAGATTGCCACTACCAAGGACACGTGGATGGCAATCAATCACAAGTGGCTGTCCTCTCACTGTGCTCCAGTGTCAAGTATTCAATTTCTTTCAAAGTTTTGAGAAAGAAATATTTTCTTTAAATTAATGGATGTTTGTTTCAGCGGTTTTTATCAAAGAGGCAATGAGGTTTTTGAAGTGCTGTCCAAACATTATGGGTCTTTGGATGCGGTTGTTGTGGAGAAGGCTAACGTTCCGAAATCTTTTTTGTGGTAATAGTTAAATGATTTTTTTATAAAAAAAAAAAAACATTTCTCTAAAACGTAAAAATTTTCAAAATATCACAGTTGTGAGGGACTACAGCTATTTGAGATGAAAACGTTAATAGAGTTTTTCAAGTCAAGCAAAATAAATTAATCATTAAAAAATTTACTAAGTTTTTTAAAACCTAGTAGATTCAAGTTTAATTCTTTAACTTGTAAGAATTTTAAAAAAACATTTTGAGGTAATGAAGTACATAAATCAACATTTCATATTACCAGGAGTGCGTAACTCTCTGATTGCAAACAATGGAGACAAGAAAAATATGAAAAAAGTGGGTCATACTGCAAAAAAAAATTTTATTGACTATTTTTAAATTCTACTTTTTATGAACTTGAAGTGTGTTATGAAGTTATGAACTCAGTTCAACGAAATGTGACCGCCACACTGGACAGAGAAAATAGAATTGTCAAAGTTTACGTTGCTGTTGAGTACGAAGTGGTTAGTATTTTGAGTTGTAATTCTTTGTTAACTGTGTCTTAAATAACATTGAAATCGGATAATCATAGTATATTTTCCTTAACTAAAAATATAAATGATCCAGGCATGCTTTAGAGCATAGCAATCTTCTTATTTATAGTTGAAAAATTATATTTTCTTCACGGTTCATTCTTATTGGAAAATAATTTTGTAAAAAATTGTTAAGTTTCCAAAGTGCCAACATCTGTTTTAAAAGTTTTCAAATAAATTTAATGTTACAATGGGCAGAAACACCAGTTAGCAACTGGTTATCGGCATATTCAATGTGACGTTATTAAACAAACTAATCTAGTTGGAAAAATACTTTAAACATCATGGCACTTCAACGAATAACTCCATTTGCACACAGTACACGTCATACAAATCTGATGTAAACAAAACGGCCCGTATTAAAGCAACTTTATTTGCTGAAGCAAGCAAGGTTTGTATCAATCTTTTTATTGCATTTTTATAAAAAAAATAACTAAAATCTATTTTAAAAAATGTGTGTTGAGATCATTTGAAACGCTTCATATACTGTTTTAGTAGTTTCTCAATTTATAAATGACATTAGCGTTGCGTAAGACATTTATTTTGAGCTATAATCCTAAATAAAGTTTTCCTGAAAACGACACTGATATTTTTTATATGACAGTACTACCAGGAAAGAGATATTCTAATAACAATCTTGGGTCTAGAAATTTGGAACATTTCAAAAATAACGTTGAAACCAAACGCCACACAACATGATTTGTTAAACGAATATGACTTATATAACAAGAAATACATTATACCAAACAATCCTGGTCTAGATACTTCAATGCTTGTCGTGTGAGTTGTCTATATTTACAGTCGGACCTCTTATAACAAACTTCTATACAACGAAAATCTGTATAATATAAGGAATTTGTTTGTCTCTTGAAATTTTGCATATAAAACTGAAAACAAAAATAATTTTTCTATAACCAACGAAATTTATAAAAGTGAAAAAAAATATCCGACCAGCAAACATTCTATGAATTGATATTAGCCGCGTTTTTATATCCCTTTAATATTTTAGAACTATATTTAATGTTTCTTGTTCCAGTATTCCAGTAATTTTTGCGTATTCCACCTCAATTAATTTCAATGGAATCAGAATCATCGTTGCATGGAACAAACTATCAATATCATTTTAAAAGTTTAATTTTTTACAATTATACCATGTTTTATTACTTTCCGTTATCAAAATAAATGATTAGAAGGTTGTTTTTATTGCGTATAAACACCTTCTAGGCAATATAGAATTTTTTCCAGAGCAAGTTCTATATAACGAAATTTTTATATAACTAATTTTTTCCAGGAACCATCAAAATCGTTATACGGAGATCCGACTGTAATAACTCTTTTTAAATAATTTGATGTTCACTTAAAGCTTACTTAAAATCTAAAGGCGGAAGGTATACGATAAAAATATCCTAGGAATGGCGAATTTGCACTAAAAATGACATGGGCCAGTTGTTCGTTGGAGGTGCTGGAAAACACCTACCATATATTTCAATGCCGGAGGAGTGTGTGCAACCGGAGGAGTGTGGAAACGGATTGATTGACCCTGGCGAAGATTGCGACTGTGGTTCATTTCCAGACAATGTAAAAAGGTTAAAAAAGTTTATGTAAAATCGCAGGCTCAAACTTGTATGTCAAAAATTGTTCAGAAATTTAATTTTTTTTCATCCAGAACTTTATTCTTGATTGAAATGTAGAAAAATAAATTACCGTTTAAATATTTTGAATAAAAATATGGTGCTATTAAATACGCAAAAATACATATTGATCAATCTTTAAAAATGTTTCTTTATTCAAACCATCCAGATCTGTTCCAGGAAATGTTGTAACATGGCAAAGTGCAAGATTTTTGCTGGATATGAATGTGCTACAGGGCTGTGTTGTGATTTGAACATATGCAAGGTTTCAGATTGTGGTTAATCATTTAAATAGCAGATATTTTGATTCATTCAAGTGTTTTTAGATATCATAATAATAATTTTTTGTTTTGTTTTGAAAAAAAAATCAATTAAATGAATTCTAATAAATTCAAGCAATTAACTGAATTGATATTTTTTTTCTTCAAATAAATTAAACAAATGTTGTTTTGTTGAATCATGAAAATAGCACAAACCTGCTAGAGATATTTGCCGGGAGGTGCAAGACGATTGCGATATTGTGGATGAATGCGATGGAAGTTCAAGCCTCTGCAAAGATTTGCATAAACAAGATGGAACCATGTGCCTGGTGAGATATTTGTTGCCTGTCATTAAAAAATTTGGATTAAGCTAACAACATCGCCTAACTATTACAAATCGTACGTTGCTATTTAGACAAAAATCCCCAATAAATATGGTAAATATGGTTCAGGTATTGGTTAAAAAGAAAAAAAGTTTATTATAAGTCTACAATTCTTTCTTTTAATAACATATTTGATATTTTTGTTTTTCAAGTCAACAAAATTTTTAACATTAACAAAAGTACAAAATGAGAGGAATACAGGAAATAATTATTATTTATAGAATCTATTGATGTGTAATACAAAACATTCCTTTTGAAAATAAAATATTTTTTTGAACACTTTATATCAATTTATCGATCAAAACTTAAGATTTATGTTTAGTTGATCGTTTTCAAACTTTTTCATTAACTACTACAGAATCGTTACTTCTTTCTGAACGGCATATGTCTATCGAGAAACAGACAGTGCTCACTGTTATGGAGCGACAACCGCAGCGTGTCGGCTGGTGAAGCGTGCTACCTTCGCAACAAACTCACTACAAACGGATGCTTCAATTGTGATTACGACTCCGAAACAAATATCGCTCAACCTTGTGATTTCAAGTATCTTTTATTAGATTAATCAGAGTTGCGCGCGCTTTCGTGAATCAATTTGCAAGTTTTTTTAACTATGTTTTTTATAACATCAAAAGCAATTTGCAACTTTTCTGACAGAGACAGGTACTGTGGAAAATTACTATGTGCCGTCAGTCACTCTGCCGTTTTAAACAAACATAACCACCATCATGTCGGTTTATCATGCGTATGTTCGTTATTTTACGTTAGGAGCGCAGGAAAACATTTCTCCTACGTTTCAGATGGAACTAGATGTGACACAAACAAGGTTTCATTTCAATCAATGTTTTTCTTGATTATGATTTAGCAATGAGTGAAATTCTTCCTCTTGAAAATCAAATTGAAGTCATAAGAAATTACATTGAAATTGAAATTCGTTAGTTTTTAAAACAATTTGAAACATTTAAAACTTTTCTAACTCAAATGCTTACGTTCCTCACCTATTTTCCTCTCCCCTTCTAGATCTTTTTACTTAAAAAATATAAATTGCATACAATTTAAAAATTGGCTTTGGTAAATATTTAAAATTTTTAGCTAGCAGCAGCCTATATAATAAATATTATATCCTGTTAGAAATTTCAACAGTGAATATTTTTTTTACCTAGGTAAGAAATATATATAGATAAATTATTTAAAATAAAAAAATTCTAACAAGCGTATTGAGGCTCTGTGTAACTTTAGCACTGAAAAAAGTGTAATTTTTTATCTATATATTTTTATTAATATTGTCAAATTTGATTTCAAGGTGTGCTTTCAAAGAAAGTGTGTCCAAAAAGAAGACTCCCTAAAAGAATGGAAGATCTCAGAGTGCACTTCATTGCACTACTCACTCAACAGTTTTCTTCTTTACTTGGTTTTTGACGTTTCACTCACTATATATATGAACATTTTCGATCAACAATTTGGGGCATATTTCCGTCAAACATATTTTTATTCTATTTTACCAAGCATAACCACAATCAGTCCACTGTAATATAAAAAAAAATTATGATAAAGATCATCATCAGTTGCAGTTGTGTCTGTTAAAGTTTAACATTTGACATTCACCAATCGATAGTCTCTGTCTGGATAATTTATATATATATATATATATATATATATATATATATATATATATATATATATATATATATATATTGGGTTTAGACTATCATAAATACAATATTTATAAAGACCACTGCGTTTTCGGCATTATTCAACTTCAATGTTCAACTTCAATGTTCAACTTCAATGTTGGGGCCAGTATCGGTCACTGCAAAAACAATCTTAAACACCAGACCAAAGCTTATAATCATATTGACTTATAGGAAATTCTAGAGTCTGTTTTCATATTCTTACAAATGGGATGTTAAAAAATTCGTGAACGTACACAATTTTTTGTTAGAGTTTAGGTTGAGGTTTAATGGGCGTTCGCGTATTCTGTTTGATCCTGCTATACTGGAGATGGAGACGTTTACTTGTTTTTTAACAATTTTTATTAACTTACTACCGTTTTGCGAACAGCTCTTCCTAAAGAACTTTTAATAAATAAATTTTCGACAATCGATTAGCATTAATAATTATTACTTTTGTCTACAAACGATACCTTTAATTCTCGTTTCTATCTGCCCTTATGTTAATTTTGAATGCTAATTTTAATGGACATTTTTCATATGCATATTCCTTCACTGTTGGAAACGACATTCAAAACAATAAAAATCTGCCATAATTATTTTGTGGGATTTCATCAAATTGATAATGTGATTCAGCATTCAATTAATCTTCTGGTTTGTTTTTCGAATTGCAATTGGAACATGTTAATGACCTGAAAAAATGACTACTATTTTGAAAAATTTCAAAAAGTTGATTATTGGGTGAACATTTTTAGCAAATTATTGAGTTCTATTGAGAACAAATTGAGATTTTATATGACGTAATTTACAATTTTAGATACAAACAAAACATAACGTTGAAAAAATGAAACTTTTGATTTTGATAAAAATTATAATTTTAATTTTGTTTGCAAGTAATAAAATATTGTTTGTTACTAACACTTTCATTTTATGCTGAGTTGTAGACAAGGTGGGAGGTTTGGGGCTGAAGGTCCTGTTGAAAATGGAAAATTTGGATAGGTCTTAGGCTAAATCCGTACATAAATTTGTAAAAATTTTGACTGAAAACTAATTCAGCTCCTTCCCACAACGATAAGATTAAAACAAAACTTCCATGAAATAGTGGTTTAAACAGCGAAATTTGTTAAACAGTTAAACCAAGCTTTTTTAATTAAACAAATTTAAGTTCTTTCCCAAAAGAGATTTCTGGGAAAAAGAGATTTCTACACCACTGTTTTTCATATACACTTACAAAATTTTTTAATATAACTAATTTTCCTTACATCGCAGGTATATCTAATCAAGATGAATTTAATTTGTCGTGTTACGATGGAGCAAAAAAGCCGGTCAGCTCAACTGAAATCAACGGAAAAGTAGTTGCTTAAAAGCTTTTTAAATGTTTTATTGTTTTACAAATATTGCTGTTTTAACATATTTTATTGTGACAAAAATTTATAACTTTTAATTCAACAATTCAATTTTTTAATATGTTCAAAAATATCCAAATTTCCGGCTTGATAGTAGGAAATTTTTGCACATGAGCAAAATTCATATCTTATTATTTTGTGACCCAACTTTGAAAAAACATGTTGACTTCAATTAAATAATCATTTTATTTTAAAAAATTTGTAAACTCAAATGTTATTATGAAATTTAGCAAAAAAAATCATCTTTTATTTTAAAAATTTTTTTAACTCATAAATGTTTTTCTGAAATTTAACAAAAAATATTTTTAAGTAATTTATTATTAAAAGTTGAAGCAGTACGTTTCATTGAAACGAAATGGGGGACTGGTCAAAGGAGAAACAAATAAATTGGTTTGTTGGTCAGAGGAAAAAAATCTTTGAAATATCCAAAAGACAACTTAGAAATCAGATTCGATGTGATAAGTAACTTCTGAGTGTTGGTTAAGTGAATCTTCAGGCGTCTAAAATGATCTGGTCATGTTGAAAGAAAAAACTTTGGATAGGTGTCTGGCTGTTTGACAAAAATTATAAAAGGAAAAAGTTATGAAACAGCCGAGTTTATTACTAGAGATGTTGAAAAATAAACTGATATGAGTAAAATTAGAACGGAAACTGGTTGAGTTATGAAATTTTGATAAACAGGTCCCTGAAATAGCCGTATCAGAAATTTTTACGGCTAGTCTCAAGATGAACCGAAATTTATTTTATTAAAGAATGATGAGAACGAGCGTATCTCAAAACCTGTCTTTTACTAAAAGACAATAAAAAGCGCTGTTAAACATTGTTTAAACGACGTTTCAAAACTAAATAAAATTTTAAAAGTATTTCAGTTTTATTACAAATTAAAACCACAGAACCACCCTTTTCTGAAGATTCAATTCATCAATAATAACAACACGCAGTTTCAAGTGTTTCTGCGTTTGAGCAGGTGATTTTTTTATCATCGAGTTTTTAATGTCATAATTTAAAAAATCAATGTCAACTTAATTTAGCTTTTTATTTTCTAAGGCAAATATTTACGAGCAACTTCGCCGTCTACATTGCCGATGAAAATCACATGCACAAGAAAGTTCATAAACTGGTAATTTGACTTTTATATATAAAAATTTTTTAGTAGTATTAAAACTCTATAAAACCCTATGAAAAGTTGCATTAAAACCCTGCTCATAATTATCCGGGAAAAGTGTTTTAATTAACTTGTAGCAAGTCTTTTATTTTGAGTCATTTCTTAATTTAAAAGAGCATCAGATTGAGGAAATCATTGTTTTGTAAATTTACTTTCGAATCTTCAAATAAATTGCCTGTATAAATAATTTCGCTGCTAATATACTTATGTATATTTGAATTTAAAATAGCTTTTTTAAATTTCTTTTAAATTATGTCAGTAAAGTTTTTAATTAATTCAATAAGATAAGAACATATGAAAATTAGAAGCAATTTTCAATTATAAAAATAATTATAGTAGATAAAAATAATTTGTCACTTTCCAAAAGAAATTAGATTGCCACTACCAAGGACACGTGGATGGCAATCAATCACAAGTGGCTGTCCTCTCACTGTGCTCCAGTGTCAGGTATTCAATTTCTTTTAAAGTTTTGGGAAAGAAATAATTTCTTCAAATTAATGGATTTGATTCAGCGGTTTTTATCAAAGAGACAATGAGGTTTTTGAAGTGATGTCCAAACAAAAAGGATCGTTGGATGCGGTTGTCGTGAAGAAAGTTGACGTTCCAAGATCATCATTTTGTGGTAAATTTGTTCCAAGATTTTTATTGAAAAAAGGAATTGTATGATACATTTTACAAAATGAGCCTAAATGGAGAAAATTGTAACATCATAATGTAATAATGATTAAAATGTTAAATAGCAATGATTACATTTTCAAATGCTCAGGAGTTCGTAACACTTTGATGGCAAGCAGAAAAAATTTGAAAAATGTAAAGAAGGTGAAAAGTTTACTGAAAAATACTTTGGAATATTTTTACAAGATTTTTTATTATCTAAAAAAAGATGGTTCCAGTTGAAAGAAATGTGACAGCCACACTTGATAGAGAAATCAGAATTGTCAAGATATTTGTTGCTGTCGACTATGATGTTGTTAGTACAAAGTATTTACATTTCAGGTCATGTTGACTGTTTCTCTGTCTGTTTGTCCATCTGTCTGTCTGACTGTCTGTCTAGCTGTCTGTCTGTCTACCTCTGTCTCTCGGTCTATACCACTATACGGTCTATGAATATCCATCCGCCAAACAATCTATTTATGAAATCATCTTAGAATTTTATGTGGCTTCATAACTTAATGTAATAACATATTAGAATATTATGAACTCTTTTGATTTTTCGAAAAACTGTAAGTAAGATCATGATCGTAAGATTGAATTAACTTATTAAATATGCTGTTAATTATTACAATTGTTCATTTGATTTAGAACTTTTCACACTAATTTTGCAAATTTTGTCAAAAGTATTTAAACAAAACCATTTTTAGTTGTCATCATTTGACGGTATCCTAACAACTTTTAACTTCTTTCTCATGCAGAACTCGTTTTTCAAGTCGGATGTGAACATCACGGTGGATTTCCTACTGAATGCGTTCATTGCTGCAAGTATGGTTGGTGTTTACTTTTTTGAATTTTGTAATAAAATACACTTTAAATTTTTAGAAAAATTTTTATTCCTGGACATCGTTTAAAAATCAACAGTACTATCAAGAACAAGACATTATGATAACCATTTTGGGTCTAGTAATTTGGGGTTCTCCAAAAATAGTATTGAAACCAAGAGATACATGTGATGATTTTTTGTATAAATTTGAGGATTATACCAATAAATATATAATAAGCAATTATTCTGGAATAGATGTATCTATGCTTCTTACGTAAGTGTCCATTGACTCATTTCATATATTTTTAAAACAATTTCATTAAAAACTAATTAAATATTTAATAGGACGAAGATATTTGACGATGAAACGGTTGGACTTGCAGAGTACCTTTCAATGTGTTCCTTTGTTGCAGCGTTTTGGGTTTCAGTAAATGTTTTTGAAATTAATATTTATTTTAAACAATAACTAAACACTCAAAAGACATTTTAAAAAAGAAATCCGAAAGCATTATTAAATTGATTTAAATTAATATAAAAATCATTTAAAAAACCATTTTATTAATTTTTTATGTATAAACGTCTACATTTACATGAAAAATAATTTCTCAAAAGTTTTAAAACAACAAAATGCATTTATAGAAAAGGAACAAGGGGCGTAAAAATAGCCAGTTGTGCTGAAACGCCGTTAAACTGCTCAAACAAACAAACAACATTTACATGATTCATTTGTTTCGCACTACCCGATTTGGCACAGCCACCCTCATTAACAATACCTCATTACTAAAATATCGTGTTGTACAATACATCACCTAGCTCTTGACTTTTTTATCGTCTTTGACACTGTCAGTCTTGATTTTAATTTTATCGATCAACTTTTACTTGACAATTATTTTACTAAAAGCCTTATTCAAAATAATTTAAAAATTTTATCACTTTTTAATTAGGTCTTTTGTTTGTGAAGTAATATTTTAAACCCAATTTCACACTTAATTAATTTCTAAATCCTTTCATATTTAAGACATGATATAATAAGTCCTGTGTATGAAAATGTTTAATCGAAGCTTCGCTATAGTTTTTGGTTGGTGCTCTTTTAATTATGGAGAGTAATATGCAAAATTTTTTTCGTAATTCACTTTTCTACTATAGAAATGGTAAAAATCTTTTCTAGCCAGAAAAAAAATTGACCGTGGTGTGTGGGGAAAATATGTTACGCAAGCGCCAGAACTGATTTGCAAATTTCGAACTGTCAATTTCGATGTCGAAGATGCACCACAAACTGGAAGGCCGATAGAAGCTGATAAAAACACGACAGCGGCATTAGTTGGTGCAAATAACAACACGTGAGATTTTCGAAAAGTTAAATTTAATGACCACTTGCTTGAAAAGCCTGGGTTTAAACAAAAACCTTGTTACATGGGTTCCAGGGTTCCACTGATATAATGCCCAAAGCTTTGACAGCTCAAATCGAATGCGCAGCCTCACCCACCATATTCTTCAGATCTTTTGTCTCTGAATTATTATTTGCTTTGGTCGCTGCAAAATTTTTTGAACGTTAAAAGGTGTATTTCAAAAGAAAAGGCCAAAAATCACCTGGATTAGTGTTTCGCCAGCAATTACCAAAAATTTTAGGAGCGTGAAATCATGTTAATACCAGAGAGATGGCAAATGGTGTTGGATGAGATTAGCCAATATAAAATTTATTAAAATATTTATTCGTTATAAAAATTATCTTTTATTTTCATAAAAAATTATAGTTACTTTTCGAAAAACCTAATATATTAACGGTGAAAAATTCAGACTTATTAATATTTGATTTTTTAAAACTTTTAGAATTTTATAAATAAGTACATTGTACTTTTAAACGTTTTTATCAGTGGCTCTATTATGCGATTTCCAAACTTTTGTATTACAAATTTATAGTCTTCAGTTATGCTAAGGGCATTTATCAATAAATTTTGTTTATCTTACACAAAAGAAAAATATACGACAGACATGAACATTTTTAAAAGCAACCTGTCACTGGTAACAAACGTTAAAACTAATGAACAAATGCAGATTATTAGGGGAGCCTTCATAACCTCCACAATTATGACGCACGAATTAGGCCACATATTTGGATTGAAACATGATGAGGATGTTTTTGGTTGCGTGTGCAGTAAAGAGCCATGCCATATGAGTGCATTTACTCCGTAAGTTTTTTATCAAAACTTTTTTGCTTTGTATTTTATTTTTGTTTTTAAGGAAAATATTTTACAAAAAATTATTAATTGTGTAACTGCATTTTGACAAAACATTGTTGTAACTTGCCCGATTATCAAGTTTTTTATTTATATTTTTTGGACAATGACGTTTACAAGATTTATGATTCTTTTTCAATATGTAGAAAATGTGCCTATGCTCATTTTTGTTTGTCAAAATTGTTGCTCAACAATATTTAGAGGCTTGGGACAGTTTTTTGTTTAACTACTTAAATGAAAAAAATCTTTTTTTAACATTTTTCCAATGTTGACTCACTCAACTTAGGATTAAGTTTTAAAAATTACAATTTAACTTCAATCATGTTTCATTGTGAATACAGTTAAATTGGTTTTTAATAACCCAAAGGAAAAGTAACACAATAGTCGAAATGACTTGGTCCAGTTGTTCAAAGGAGGTGCTCAACCAAACCTACCATAAACACCAATGTCTTTTCGAGAATACTGCACCATTCAATTGGATTCCTGCCAGTTGTGGAAACGGATTAATTGATGATGGGGAAGATTGCGACTGCGGTTCATTTAAAGAAGAAGTGAGCTTATAACATTTTCGATTTATTTAAATTATCATATGTTTGAATTTTGTTAACGAAATATTTGCTGCTCAAAAATAAATCGACAATCAAAAATGGCCGAGTGCACTAAATATAAAGGATGAAAAAATAACTCAAACAACCAGATCTGTTCAAGGCAGTGCTGCAACACAACAACTTGCATGTTTACTCCAGGCTCGGAATGTGCCACAGGACTGTGTTGTGACTTCAACACATGCAAGGTGTCCGTTTGATACAGTTTTTGAGTTACCAAATATTTTGTTTCAAACCAACACTATCAGATATTCTAATAATAGATGATTGGAAAATGAAAACTATACTATATGTTTTTCCAAACATCGAGGCGAATTTATTTATTAACTTAGAAAAATTCATAAAATGTTTGTATTTTTTCGAACTTGATAAGCTCAAACTCGCCGGAGAGATTTGCAGAGAGGTGAAAGATGAATGCGACATTGAAGATAAATGCAGTGGAACATCAAATCTCTGCATAGATTTATATAAACGAGACGGAACCATGTGCTTGGTGAGTTATTTTTTATGTACATGTAACTGAGTTCACGGCAAAAATACTTTAATACTCAAAAAAAGAAACCAAACGTAATTCTTTACAGTCAGGAATTGAAATAACGAAACTATTGTTATTAACGAAATAAATAAATAACAAAAAATATTGTTTAAATTTCGAACTTAAATTAACAATAGTAATGGCGTTAACAGTACTTTACACCGACATTCGCTTCTCTACCAAAACTTTGTCCACAAACCCTTTTTCCAGCTCACCTGCCCCTTATATAGCCACGCGTATTTCTGAAGCGCATTCCGTCCGTCTAATAATCATAAAGCACCTAACCTCGAACCGTGACACTACAGATTTACAATTTTGATTAACTTGAAACATTCAGCATGTGACTTTGAAAACAATTTCCTTAAATTTACAACTACAATATTTAACACTTTTAACCTACAAAATTTAGCTAAATTAAATTAAATTTAACGGATGGAAACTACTTTAAACAATGTTTCAAGGCAGAAGCTTTGAACAAAATGTAATGAAATTTTTAACCCGAAATTAACGGCTGCTTTTTTCTATAAACAAAAAATCAAAAATATATAAATAACTAAATATAATTATATACATATATGTATAATATAGAACAGCATTTATTTTTTGTTTTGAAAAATTTGAACATAATTGATGTACTGACAAATTGAAACATTTGGCGAGGCCAATCACTAAACTGCTGCACAAACTATTTCGCTACAATATAATAAAAAATTATTTGATCAAGCATCTTAGATTCAGCCGTAGCTCATTATTTTGAAACTCCTTCGTCATCCGTTACAGGACCGATACTACTGTGTGGGCGGCAAATGCCTATCACGAAGCAGGCAGTGCTCGTTGTTATGGAACGACCAAAAGACGGTGTCAGCTGGAAAAATATGCTACCTTCGGAACACATTTCTAAACCACAAATGCTTCAATTGTAATTACAATTCCAAAAAAAATATTGCTAAATCTTGTTCTTTCAGGTTTGTTTTTTATCAGTTTTGGTCAGTATATTTTAAATTTATTTGCATATATTTTTAAAATAATTGTAATAATTATTCCTTCTCAATGAATTACTTCGAATTATCAACGACACACACACACACTCGCACATCCACATCGTCATTCAATGCATCACCCGCATTACAGATGAGATGGATCATTTGCATTTGAACCCAGTCACACAGGCATAGGCAAAACCGTTTCAAGGTTATCGTAGGCCTTAGGCCTTTTCAAAGTCATAGACCCTCCCATTTTTAATATATTTTGTAAATTCCCCGCTTTTCATTGCGATTTGAAATCTAAATAAACATTCCCGAAAGTTAATTATTTATGCAGACTACGTAGTCTCTACGAACGCACCGGAATTACATCATGCGCCTTTGGGCTTTTTTTAAATTTTCAAAAGTAACAGATGTCTGATTTATGTTTCTCTAGCCTTCAAAGGCCCTAGGCATAGTGCCTACTCTGTCTGGTTTATGATGCGGCCCTAAACGTAGGGCCAGGTGCCTTTAACCATTACACTACCATACCACCCAATGTTTAATCATTATCTGAATTGTTTAATTATTCCGGCAGCAATAGATATTGTGGAAAATTGCTCTGTCATGTCAGTCATGCAAGCCTTTTGAATCAATACGACTACGTACATGATGGTACATCTTGCGTATGCCCGATGTATCAGGTTCAACCTTTTGACAAATCTTTTTCATACGTCCAGGATGGAACCAAATGTAAAACAAACAAGGTTAAAAAATTGTTATTCATTCATCAATCTTTGATTACTTAGATGGTCTTTGTAGCCTATTAATTTTTTTGTACGTTTGAAATTGCAGTGGCAAAATTAATCAACCAATTAAATAAATGTTCTGATAATTATTTCAATTAATTAATATAGCTCATATATATTGTTTAACCTATTACTTCACATAATCAGCTTTGACGAGAATTTTTTTGTTATAGGATGCCGACGTTAAATGCGAAACCAGTTTTGTTGTGTTGTACAACAAAAAATGTAAAAATGCTGTTGTTGTTGCCCCTCCAGTCGATTTCCACCAGGTTCAGGTGAGGCCTGAGCCAATCAGCAACCGCCGTCGGGTTTTGCCACAGGTCTATTGTGGTGAGAACCTTGGGATTTGCTGGGCAGCTGAACAAATAGCTGAGCTGCGAATGGCCGTGAAGGCAGTTGGTGTCTATGCCGTTGTGGATCCTTCTCTTTTACCTGCCAAATAATATACACTGGCCGGATCGAAGTTGAGTTGCTCGGGAAAGGAATTTCTCTGAACCATCTATTGAGGGCATTAGTGGAGGCCATCCATTGAGTAGTACGGATAATAAATAAATAAATGTCATTTGTAAAGCGCCAGTGCAAACAACTGAGGCACCCTCGGAACCAAGAAATTCACAATCAACCATGGCGATATATGCCCAATGATAAAAAACAAATAATAACAACAAAAATCAAACTAAAATTGTAATGGTTGTTGAATAAATGTGATAGAAATTAAAAGCAGCATGCAAAAAATATAAAATTATTATCAATTAAAAGCGAGATTGAAATGATGAGTTTATTAAATGAATTTAAAACCACAGAGGGAGCTGCAAGTTTTGATGTCTGGAGACAAGAATTCGAGACAATTGCAGCAGCATGACGAGATGCTGCTCGTTCACCAATTTTGGTTGAAGAAATATTTTGAAGAAAAACCGGTGCATTGGCAAAGCGAAGATTTTGATTATTGATATTTAGATGAAGAAGACTATCAATATACGGCGGTGAATGTGATGACAACAACTTGAAAAGAATGATGGCGATTTTAAACTGGACACGGTAATGAAAAGGTAGCCAGTGAAAGCCTTTCAAATTCAATGTTGCAGATGATAGACAATTTGGTGATGTATCAATACTCTGTACAACTCTGGCAGCCCGATTCATCAGCCTCTGTAGACGTGTTTCCTGCTTCTGAGATATGCCAAACATTACTGAATTACAATAGTCGAGCCTGGGCAATATTAAACAACCTGCCAGATTTCTAGCCAGATCGATTGAAAAAAACTGTCTGATGTGACGTAGTTCCTCGATATGATAATTGCAGGCTTTGGAAATAATTGTAATATAATCCGTAAAAGTTAGTTTCCTTTTATCAAGGAGAACACTAAGTGTCTTCAAAGCTCCACCGACAAGGACATCACCACCACCAACCCTGATTGAGGTCAGGTCTTTTAACTTATTGATTGAGTGAAATGAGCCCAATATAATGACATCTGTTTATTTGAGTTGAATTGAAGATTATTGAGAAGGAATCACCTCTCCTTGGCAACTATGCACGTAGTGATGGTATTCACAGTTGGTTAGTAATCATTAATATCCAAAGAGATGAAAAGTTGGGTATCGTATTGATGGTAGCATACTTTGTACCTATTGATGATCTTATGAATCGGAAAAATATATGACGTGAAAAGTAGAGGGCCCAAGACCAAACCCTGGGATACACCATGTTGTAGTTGGGTTGTAGGTGACGTATATTTTGGTATTTTGACAAATTGACTGCGGCCAGACAGATAAGATGAAAGCCAGAAGATGAGGAGATTAAATCATTGAATTTTAACCAATTTACTTTTTTAATATTTCTAAACGTAACCTTGCTGGATGTAATGTTGAGTCGAGGAGCGTAGACGAAAGTGGTGATGAGGTTGTGATCGGAAAAAGATGTTGGCTAGACTTTGACTGTTGAAACGATGATTGATTAATCCTTATTGATCCTTAGGTGTTATCAGCAGATCTAGGATATTGCCCTTATTATGTGTAGGCAAACAAACTTGTTGTAGAAGACTAAACTCGTCAATGATCTCCAACAATTCATCATGAAGAAGAAGCATTAAAATCGCCACAGATTATAAATCTGATGTTTGTTGATGTGATACCTTCTATTAAATTATTAAACTCACCGTATCCGAATCATCGTCTGCATAAAACTGAAATTATTTATAATTTTTTCATCAAACAATATAATAAACATAACAGTAAAAAGATTAAATTTCGTAGCATTTTTTGATTGTTTTAAAAAAAATTTTTACGAAAAATATATAAATTATTTGATCTAATGAAAAACATTATTATCAGATTTAACGCTCAATGAAATTTCACCTGTCAATACTTATTATAATTATTATTTGAAAAAATCTTTTTTAGGTTTGTTATAAAAGAGAATGCATCAACAGAAGTGATTTTTTCGGGACGGTGACTCTAACTCGCAAATCCTCCTCCAGATGCTCAAGACTATACAACTCATTCGACAGATTTATTTTTTATTTGTTTTGGCCATTGTACTCAATAAAGTTTTAGTTATTGATGGACATTCTACAATGTTTTTTTTCTAAACTGAAATGAGACATATTTGTGAAGGTGTGTCAGTAGCATGTGCTGAAAATTGACTCATTCAAAATTTAACAACAAACGCTTATTTAACAACAAACGCTTATTTCTTTTTTTTAATATAAATAATTTTTTTAAATTTAAATATTTGTATTTTTTACACAATTTTGTAACAGGGAAACTTTAAATACTTTAAATAAATTTGCCGTCTGCAAATGTTTTCTTTTTAATATAAGTTAATCATGACCAACCGCTCAGGTTTAAAATCGAATAACGATAAAGAGATCATCGAACGCGTCCTCAGCCTTTTGAACTAGGGTACCTGTAAGCTTGAAGGCTACCTTAGAACCAAAGACAACGTACCGGGTACTGGTTCTTTTATAAGGTAGAGATTGAACTGGATGGTCGATGATCCAATGAAAAAGTTTTCTGCTCTGTTGTGGGGAAGGAAATATCAAAAAAGATTTGAAAATAAAATACTTTGGCCTAATTTTTGTTTTATTACAGATTAATTTTCAAAAGTACATTTTGTATTCATCTTTTATTTAACTTTTAAAAAATCACAAAGCTAACTCTGAAAAATCAATGCTTTTACCTCTTCTTGGCGATCCTATTTTTCTCCTTCTTGTTACTTCAGTAGTCTCATATAGGATTGATTATTTTAACTCGCTTTACTATGATTCTACACTCTATCCTTTAAATAAAGTTTTAACTCTGTTGCTCGTCTAGTTGCTCGTGCCCCTTTCTTTTCTCATATATCTCCATATCTTTTTCTCTTGCACAGGCTCTCTATATAATATAAAATAATTTTTTAAATTTGCACATTTATGTATAAATCTCAACCTAAGTTATTTCCTAAGTACTTATCAGATATATCAATTGAACCTAAACGCCCCGGTTTGCAATCGTCTTCTTGTTACTTCTTCTTAAATCGTGTTAAACACTCATGCTAAATCTGCAATATCGGAAAAAAGCGCTTTATAAACTAAATGATTGATTGATTGATTGATTGATTGATTGATTGATTGATTGATTGATTGATTGATTGATTGATTGATTGATTGATTGATTGATTGATTGATTGATTGATTGATTGATTGATTGATTGATTGATTGATTGATTGATTGATTGATTGATTGATTGATTGATTGATTGATTGATTGATTGATTGATTGATTGATTGATTGATTGATTGATTGATTGATTGATTGATTGATTGATTGATTGATTGATTGATTGATTGATTGATTGATTGATTGATTGATTGATTGATTGATTGATTGATTAACCTAATAAGGCTAGCAGAATGTCTGATTTCTAATATGATTGTACAAACGTATCAACTAGTTCTGGGGTCCTCAAAATACGGCCCCATGTGGTCCGCCAAGCCATTTTCTGCGGCCCGCGAAGGCTTGAACGTAAATAGACAAAGAAAATGAAAAATTACAATATAACCCAAAAAATGTTTTCAGCCACAAATGTCGCTTCCCCGGTTAACATTTCAACATTTTAGAAAATTCATCCCCCAGTCAAGATTTGAAAATATTTTATATTTATATACATATATGCGGCCGTCCAAAGGTTAAAGAGTTTTCAATTTGGTGTTTGGTTACAAAAGAGAGTCATATTCATGGGCAGATCTAGACAATTTTGACGTTGGGACATAAATTTTCCAACTCTTTCAAAGTTGATGGAGAGATTTTCCAAAATGTTGAAAATGTTACATTTTAAATTTTGACTTGGACGCCAAAATTTTGACGCAGGGCCTACACTTTCACGTGTTTTTTTCATTATCGATAAAAATAATGAGAATTCCTCTGTGGAATATCAATAATGAAGACACGAAAAAGTCTTATGTTATATATATATATATATATATATATATATATATATATAAGCATCTGGGCACATACACAACATATCAATTTGAAATTGAACACCGCAGATGGCGTAGGAATACGAAAACATACTTTTTTCTTCTATCATGCATGAAATAAACCAAAATTTTGGTTTTGAACTCAAGAAACTTAAAAATGATTTACGATCAAGAGTTAGAAAAATCGAAAAGTTAAATTGGAAGCTAACTAACGCCGAACATGCTGTGATTTTCATTATATATACATATATATATATATATATGTTGGTAATAGACCATAATTTTTTTAATATTTTCTATAAATTCTACCGAATGTTTGGCGTTAATATGTTTGTAGGCCGTTTTTTTCGATTTTTCTCACCAAAGTTTTTTGGTAAACGTTTAGTTTATTAAAATTCAAAATAAACTTATTTTCCGAATTCATGCTGCAAATAAGGCCATATATCGATTAGTATTAATAATTGCTACTATTGTCTACAAACGATACCTTTAATTCTCGTTTCTATCTGCCCTTATGTTAATTTTGAATGCTAATTTTAATGGACATTTTTCATGTGCATATTCCTTCACTGTTGGAAACGAAGTTCAAAACAATAAAAATCTGCCATAATTATTTTGTGGAATTTCATCAAATTGATAATGTGATTCAGCATTCAATTAATCTTCTGGTTTGTTTTTCGAATTGCAATTGGAACATGTACCTACTCGTTAATGACTGAATCAAATTTTCATGGACTTGATCAGTGCAAGAAATACATATAATAAAAAAATATTTTACTCGTTAAATTTATTATGAGGCTTTCGAAAAAGTTCAGAAAGTTGATTAATTGGTTTATTTTTAGCAAATTATTGAGTTCTTTGCTAATTGAAAACAAATCTAGATTTTGTTGACGTAATTTAAAAGCTTAAATACGAACATAACATAACGTAGAAAAGATGATATTTTTAATTTTAATTTTGTTTGCAAGTAATAAAATATTTTTTTGTTACTAACACTTTCATTTTATCTAAGTTGTATATAAGGCGGGAGGTCGAAAATGAAAAATTTGGCTGGTCTTAGGCTAAATCCGTACATAATTTTGTAAAAATTTTGACTGAAAACTAATTCAGCTCATTCTCACGACGATGAAATCAAAACAAACCTCGCATGAAATAGTGGTTTAAACAGCGAAATTTGTTAAAACTAGCTTTTTTTAATTAAACAAATTTAAGCTCCCTGCCAAAAGAGATTTCTGGCTATACAACTGTTTTTCATATATACTTACGAATTTTTTAACGTATAACTAATTTTCATAACACTGCAGATGTGTCTACTCAAGAAGAATTTAATTTATCGTATTACGATGGAGCAAATAAGCCGGTCAATTCAACTGAAATCAACGGAAAAGTAGTTGCTTAAAAGTTTTTTAAATGTTTTATTGTTTTACAAAAATTGCTGAACTAATAAATTTCATTGTAACACAAATTTAAAACTTTTAATTCAACAAATCAATTATATAATATGTTATATACACAGTATATACAACATAAAAATCAGCATCGATGTGATATGTAACGGCTTGTTGGTTCAGTGTATCTCTAACATGATTTATTTCAGACGTTTCAGATTTAAAGTCCTAACAACTAAAAACTAACAATCTTTAATAAAAATTAAAAATCCCACGAGTTAACGAAGTCTATCCAAACGAATACTATTCTTTTCTTCTTTTAACTCTCGCTCATTGCTTTTCCTGGTTTAGTGTTCTTATACAAGAGGCGTCTAAGATGATCTGGGGATGTTGGAAGAAAAAAAAACTTTGGATGGGTGTCCGGCTGCTTGACAAAAATTATAAAAGGAAAAAAGCGGAGTTATGAAACGGCCGAGTTTATTGCTAGAGATGTTGAAAAATAAACTGATAAACGTTAAATTACAACGGAAAATGGTTGAGTAATGAAATTTTGATAAACATGTCCCTGGAATAGCCGTTATATAAACTTTTATGGCTAGTTTCAAGATGAACCAAAAAAGCGCTGTTAAACATAGTGTAAACGACGTTTCAAAAATAAAGTTTAAAAACTTTAAAAATAATTCAGTTTTATTACAAATTAAAACCACAGAACCACACTTCTCTGAAGATTCAATTCATCAATAATAACAACACGCAGTTTCAAGTGTTTCTGCATTTGAGCAGGTGATTTTGTTATCATCGAGTTTTTAATGTCATAATTGAAAAAATTAATGTCAACTTAATTTAGCTTTTCAATTCTCAAGGCAAATATTGGCGAGCAACTTTGCCGTCTACGTTGTTGGTGAACATCACAAGCGCAAGAAAGTTCATAAACTGGTAATTTGACTTTTATGTATAAAAAATTTTTAGTAGTATCTAAACCCTATAAAAAGTTGCATTAAAACTCTGCTCATATTTATCTGGATAAGTTTTTTAATTAACTTGTGGCAAGTCTAATTATTATTTTGATTGATAAAATCATCGGGTTGTGATACTTATGAAATGAAAAATTGTTCTTATACTTTCGAATCTTTAAATAAATGACAGGTGTCAATATTTTTCGCTGCTAATATACTTTTGTACATTTGAGTTTAAAATAAATTTATCATCTCTTTTAAATTATGTCAGTAAAGTTTTTAAAAAATTACTTACGCTTTTTTTTTATTTTAAATAGTTCAATAAGATAAGAACATGAAAATTGGAAGCCATTTTTAATTATAAAAATAATTATAGTAGATAAAAATAATTTCTCACTTTCCAAAAGAAATTAGATTGCCACTACCAAGGACACGTGGATGGCAATCAATCACAAGTGGCTGTCCTCTCACTGTGCTCCAGTGCCAAGTATTCAATTTCTTTCAAAGTTTTGAGAAAGAAATATTTTCTTCAAATTAATGGATGTTTGTTTCAGCGGTTTTTATCAAAGAGGCAATGAGGTTTTTGAAGTGATGTCCAAACAAAAAGGATCGTTGGATGCGGTTGTCGTGAAGAAAGTTGACGTTCCAAGATCATCATTTTGTGGTAAATTTGTTCCAAGATTTTCATTGAAAAAAGGAATTGTACAATACATTTTATAAAATGAGTCTAAATGGAAAAAATTGTAACATCATAATGTAATAATGATTAAAATGTTAAATAGCAATGATTACATTTTCAAATGCTCAGGAGTTCGTAACACTTTGATGGCAAGCAGAAAAAATTTGAAAAATGTAAAGAAGGTGAAAAGTTTACTGAAAAATACTTTGGAATATTTTTACAAGATTTTTTCTTATTTAAAAAAAGCTGGTTCCAATTAAAAGAAATGTGACAGCCACACTTGACAGAGAAATCAGAATTGTCAAGATATTTGTTGCTGTCGACTATGATGTTGTTAGTACAAAGTATTTACATTTCAGGTCATGTTGACTGTTTCTCTGTCTGTTTGTCTATTTGTCTGTCTGACTGTCTGTCTAGCTGTCTGTCTGTCTATCTCTGTCTCTTTCTATACCACTATACGGTCTATGAATATCCAACCACCAATTAATCTTTTTATGAAATTATCTAATTATTTTTTTGGCTTCATAACATGGTATAATGAACTTTTTTTGATTTTTCGAAAAACTGTAAGTAAGATCATGATCGTAAGATTGAATTAAGTTTTCAAATATACTGTTGTTTATTTCAATTGTTCATTTGATTTAGAACTTTTCACACTAATTTTTGAAAATTTTGTTAAAAATATTTAAATAAAATCAATTATTTTTAGTTGTCATCATTCTTCTTTCTCATGTAGAACTCGTTTTTCAAGTCGGATGTGAACATAATGGTTGATTTTCTACTGAATGCGTTCACTGCTGCTGGTTTGGTTGGTATTTACTTTTTTGTATTTTGTGATAAAACACACTTTAAATTTTTAGAAAAATTTTTATTCCTGGATATCGTTTAAAAATCAATAGTACTATCAAGAACATGACATTATGTTAACCGTTTGGAGTCTAGAAATTTGGAATTCTACAAATATTGTAGTGAGACCAACAGATACTCGTGATGATTTTTTGTATAAGTTTGTGGATTACACCAATAAACATATAACAACCAATTATTCTGGAATAGATGTATCTATGCTTCTTACGTAAGTGTCCATTGACTCATTTCATATATTTTTAAAACAATTTCATTAAAAACTAATTAAATATTTAATAGGACAAAAATATTCGGTGTAACGTATGGACTTGGAGAGTTCTATTCAATGTGTTCCTCAAGTTCAGCTCTTTGGATTTCAGTAAATGTTTTTGAAATTAATATTTATTTTAAATAATAGTTAAACACATAAACGACACTTCAAAAAAAAAAATCAGAATATATTAATAAATAGATTGAAACTAAATTAAAAATCATTCAAAAGACCATTTAATTAAGTTTTTATATAAAAACGTTTACATTTACATGATTCATTTGTTTCGCACTACCCGGTTTGGCACAGCCACCCTCATTAACAATACCTCATTACGAAAATACCGTGTTGTACAATACATCACCCAGCTCTTGATTTTTTAACGCCTTTGACACTGTCAGCCTTTTATCGATTAATTTTTACTTGATTAATGTACAATCTTTATTTTTTTTTACTAAAAGCTTTATTCAAAATTATTAAAAAATTTCATCACTTTTTAATTAGGTCTTTTGTTCGTGAAGTAATTTTGTTTTTTCTCGACAGAGGACTACTTTAACCCAACTTCACATTTAATTAAATCTTAAATCTTTTCATGTTTTAAGACATGGTATAACAAGGCTTGTGTATGAAAGATTCAATTGAATCAATGCTATAGTTTTTGGTTGGTGCTCTCTAAGTATGGAGAGTAATATACAGCATTTTTGCATAGATTTAAACAGAAAACTTGTTTCCTGGGTTCCAGGGTTCTACTAAGATAATGCTTAAAGCTTTTACAGTTCAAATCGAATGCGCAGCCTCATCCACCATATTCTACAGATCTTTTGTTTCTGGATTAATATTTGCTTTTGTCGCTGCAAACTTTTTGGAAGTTAAAACGTTTATTTCAAAAGAAAAGACCAAAAATCACCTGAATTAGTGTTTCACCAGCAATTACCAAAAGTTTTAGGAGTGTGAAATCATGTTAATACCTGAGAGATGGCAAATGATGTTGGGCCAGATTGTCCAATATATAATTCATTAAAATATTTATTCGTTATACAAAAATTATCTTTCATTTTTGAAAAAAAAAATTAAAGTTGCTTTCCCAAAAACGGTGAAAAATTTAGACTTATTTATATAAGATTTTTACAGCAATTAGAATGTTTTTTATTTGTATATTAATAAGAAAAACATTTGAACGTTTTTATCAATTGCTCTATTTTGCGATTTCCAAACTTTTGTATCACAAATTTATAGTCTTCAGTTATGTAAATGGCATTTAGCAATGAATTTTATTTGTATTACACAAAAGAAAAATATACGACAGACATGAACATTTTTTAAAAGCAACCGGTCACTGGTAATAAACGCTAAAACTACTGAACAAATGCAGATTATTAGGGGAGCCTTCATAACCTCCCTAACTATGGCGCACGAATTAGGCCACATATTTGGAATGGAACATGTTGAGGATGTTTTTGGTTGCGTGTGCAGTAAGGAGCCGTGCATTATGAATAGACAACTTCCGTAAGTTTTTTAACTAAACTTTTCTGCTTTTTATTTCTGTTTTTAAGGAAAATTTTCTACAAAATTTTATCAATTGTGTAACTGCATTTTGTCAAAAAATATTTTTGTAACTTTCACGGTCATCAAGTTAATCAATCTTCTTGCAAGATTTCTGATAGATAAACACAGCTGCTTCAAACACAAACTTGCTCAAACGTTTATTTGAATGTCAACGGAGTTAGGAACACAAAATTATGTAATAGTCTATTAAATAAGTTCGATGTCGCACAATACAAATACACAATACAAAATCACAGCCCAGCTTTATAACCCAACATACAAACAACCTCTTAACTCTGGCCAGTTTCCCTCCTTACTGAAACATGCTTTGTCATCCCCACTCTGAAAAAACGTAGCCTTGATAAAAACACATTGGCTAACTATCGCCCGGACTCTAACCTTTCGTTTTTGGCTAAAATTATTGAGAAAATTGTCAACAATCAGTTGTTTTGCTATTTGTCTGTTAATGGTCTTCATCCGTCAAGCCAATCTGGTTATCGGCGATTCTATTCGACTGAAACTGCACCCATCAATTTGGCTTCAGAATTGTCTATGGCAATTGATGAGCAAAAGATTTTGCTCCTTGTTCTGCTTGACATGAGTGCGGCTTTTGATTGTGTCGATCATGTGATTTTAATTGATAAATTACAGCATTTATTTGTTCCTTTTTTGGTTGAAATCTTACTTGTGTGATCGTACTCAGCAATTTGTGTTTAGTGGTGAAGTATCTGATGTTGAAAGATTGTCGTTTGGTGTTCCTCAGGGATCTGTGTTGGGTCCGTTGCTGTTCTTTTTGTATGTGCTTGATTTTTTGAGGTTGTTGTTAATAGACATGGTCTTAAAAGTCAGGCTTTTGCTGATGATGTCCAAATTTACCTAGTTCTCATTCTGGTTTTACTGAATTGTTGGATAACCTTGTTCTTTGCTTGACAAATGTTAGTAAATGGTTGTCATTTAATCGCTTGAAATTAAATAATAGTAAAACATAAATTTTGCCTATTGGCACATGGCAGCAGTTGTCTAGAATTGATATTAAGGGTTTATTTTTGAAAGGATACATATTGATTTTTGTAAGAGTGCTAGTAATCTGGGTATAATATTTGACACAAATATGTCCATGGAGCCACATATTAAGCGTTTTGCTAGAGACTGTTCAAATCAACTAAGGTTGTTGAACTCAGTAAAACATTCACTTGATGTTCATACATTGAGTTGACCGGTCCATGCTTTTATACACTCTAAAGTGGATTATTGTAATGGCCTATTCTATGGACTGTCACAAAGAGTTATTCAGATGTTGCAGTCCATTCAGAATAGAGCTGCTAAACTTGTTTCTGGACGTTCTAGGACTAATCATGTCAGCCCCATTTTGCGAAACTTACACTGACTGCCTGTTAAAAAACGTATTACTTTTAAAATTGGAATGCTTATTTTCAGATGCTTGAATAGTATTGCACCTGGCTATCTAATTGATAGGTGCACTGCACGTCTTGTTCCAGGGCATTCCTACAAGTTACGTTCTAATGATCGTGACTTGCTTTTTGTGGCCCCAACCAATTTTGTTACAGGTTCAAGAAATTTTTCAGTTGTTGGGCCATCTGTATGGAATAGCTTGCATTTGGAAATGTGTGCTTTGGGGCATTCAATTTTATCCTTCAGGAGGGAACTAAAAACGTTCCTGTTTGCGCAATGAGTGCTTTGGTTGTTGTTTCCTTGTGATTTGTTTCAGCATTTTCGAGATTTGATGAAAGAGGGCTATATAAATCTACCTAATGATAATAATAACCTCGTCACTTTTGCCACACGTACTGTACTGTGTTTATAAATCAGTAGTTTTATACAGATTAGACGTTTTAACAAAGGTAACAAATAGCAAAGGTAACGACGATAATAACAATCAATTGAAATTAATTATATAGCTCAAATTTTGCAACATATAAGTGTGCTTATAATTCAGAAGTGTTACAACCGAAAAATTTTTACAGTTCTACCTCCTTCGAAATTACATTTTCTTTGAGAAAGACGTTTTAAACACTTACGCTTTTTTCAATAAGTAGAAAATGTGCATCTGCTTATTTCTGTTCGTCAAAAATGTTGCTCAACAATATTTAGAAGCTTTTGCAATATTTATCAAAACCTTTGAAAAGTTTTTCGTTTAACTACTCAAATAAAAAAAAAATCTTTTTTCAATTTTTTTCCAATATTGATTCACTCAACTTAGGATAAAGTTTCAAAAATTTGCAATTTAACTTCAAACTTGTTTTATTGTGAATACAGTTAAATTAGTTTTTTAAATAACCCAAAGAAAAAGTAACACAACAATCGAAATGACTTGGGCCAGTTGTTCAACGGAGGTGCTCAACCAAACCTATCATATACACCAATGTCTTTTTGAAAAAGATGCACCGTTCGATTTAATACCTGCCAGTTGTGGAAACGGATTAATTGATGATGGGGAAGATTGCGACTGCGGTTCATTTAAAGTGGAAGTGAGTTTATAATATTTTCTATTTATTTGAATAAAATTAAAGTATTATTTTAAATTTTGTTATTATTGTAATATATGTTTGAATTTTGTTAATAGAATATTTTCTGCTCAAAATAATTCGATAAATTAAAAATGGCCGAGTGCACTTAAATATAAAGAATGAAACAACCAGATCTGTTCAAGGCAGTGCTGCAACACAACAACTTGCATGTTTACTCCAGGCTCGGAATGTGCCACAGGACTGTGTTGTGACTTCAACGCATGCAAGGTGTCTGTTTGATATAGTTTTTGAATTACTAAATTTTTTTTTCAAACCAACACTATCTGATATTCTAATAATAGATGATTGGAAAATGAAAAATATACTATATATTTTTCCAAACATCGAGACAAATTAATTTATTAATTTAGAAAAATTCATAAAATTTTTGTATTTTTCGAACTTGATAAGCTCAAACTCGCCGGAGAGATTTGCAGAGAGGTGAAAGATGAATGCGACATTGAAGATAAATGCAGTGGAACATCAAATCTCTGCATAGATTTATATAAACGAGATGGAACCATGTGCTTGGTGAGTTATTTTTTATGTACAGATCCACAATTTTGAATAACTTGAAAAATTCAGCATGTGACTTTGAAAACAATTCCCTTAAGACAACAAAATTTAGCTAAATTAAATTAAATTTAACAGACGGAAACTACTTTAAACAATGTTTCAAGACAGAAGCTTTGAACAAAATGTAATGAAATTTTTAACCCAAAATTAACGATTGCTATCTTCTATAAACAAACAACTAAAATATATAATTAACCAAATATAATTATATACAAATATTATACGAAAATTCGTGATAGGCATTTGCCGTCCAAACAGTATGCGGAAATGCATAATATAGAACAGCATTTATTTATTGTTTCAAAAAATTTGAACATAATTGATGTATTGACAAATTGAAACATTTGGCGAGGTTAATCACTAAACTGCTGCACAAACTATTTTTGTACAATATAATAAAAAATTACTTGATCAAGAATTTTAGATTCACCCGTAGCTCATTATTTTGAAACTCTTTCATCATCCGTTACAGGACCGATACTACTGTTACGGCGGCAAATGCCTATCACGAAGCAGACAATGCTCGTTGTTATGGAACGACCAAAAGACGGTGTCAGCTGGAAAAATATGCTACCTTCGGAACATATTTCTAAACAATCTATGCTTCAATTGTGATTACGATCCAGACACAAATGTTGCTCGTTCTTGTTCTTTCAGGTATAATTTTATCAGTTTTTGTATTTATATTTTAATTTTATTAGGTGCATTATTTTGCATATATCTACAAAATTTAATATTTCTTTTTAATGAATTACTTGGAGTTATCAACGATACACACACACTCACACATCCACATCGTCATTCAATGCATCGCGCGCATTCCAGATGGGAGGAATCATTTGCATTCGAACCTAGTCTCAGAACATTGTAGGCAGGGCCGTTTTAAGGTTATCGTAAGCTCTAGGCCCTTTCAAAGTCATAGGCCTTCCCCTACGTAGGGGAAGGCCTATGACTTCCCCTACGTAGTTTCTATGAACGCACCGGAATTACATCGTGCGCCTCGCATCTGTTGTTGGCTTTTTTCTTAAAATTTTCAAAAGTAACAGAAATTTTTTTAAATGACTATGTCTGATATATGTTCCTCTGGCTTTCGTAAACCCTAGGCACTGTGCCTACTCTGCCTGGTTGGTGAAGCGTCCCAAAACGTAGGGCCAGGTGCCTCTATTACACTACCATACCACCCAGTGTTTAATCATTATCTGAATTGTTTAATTATTCCGGCAGCAACAGATATTGTGGAAAATTGCTCTGTCATCTCAGCCATGCAAGCCTTTTGAATCAATACGACTACGTACATGATGGTTTATCTTGCGTATGCCCGATGTTTTTTCTTAGAAATGTCAACAAATCTTTCTCCTACATCCAGGATGGAACCAAATGTAAAACAAACAAGGTTAAAAAATTAATATTCATTCACTATTCATTCACCACTCTTTGATTAATTAAAAGGTCTTTGTAGCCTATTAATTTATGTTGTACGTTTGAAGTTGCGTTGGCATAATTAATCAACCACTAAAATAAATGTACTGATAATTATTTCAATTAATTAATATAGCTCATATACATTGTTTAACTTATTACTTCACATTAACAACTTTTACGAACATTAAGAGAATTTTTTTGTTATAGGATGCCAAGGTTAAATGCGAAACATTTGACGAAAATTATCATAACCATGAATTATGTTGATTTGATGATGACAATAAAATAAAAGAATTTAAAAGATTTATCTTTTATAACCAATGCTGAAGAGGCATGAAATTATAAGCATTTGGTATTTTAGTTTTCCAATTCTTGTATTTTTTACTCTTTCGTTTCTTCTCCCTTCCGTACACTTCTAGTGACTAAAATTGTTCTTGTGAAATACAAACACCGCATCCAAATCATCGTCTGCATAAAATTAAAATTATTTATAATTTTTTTATCCAACAATATACTAAGCATAAAAGTAAAAAAGGTGATAATCTTAAATTTCTTAGCATTTTCTAATGATTTTTGAAAAATTTATACGAAAAATATATAAATTATTTTATCTAATGAGAAATATTATCAGATTTAACGCTCAATATAATTTTAACTTAAAATATTTTTAAATTTTTTTTAAAATCTAGGTTTGTTATAAAAGAGAATGCATCAACAGAAATGATTTTTTCGAGACGGTGACTCTAACTCGCAAATCCTCCTCCAGATGCTCAAAACTGTACAACTCATTCGACAAATTTATTTTTTATTTGTTTTGGCCATTTTACTCAATAATGTTTTAATTATTGATGGGCATTCTTTTTTCAAAGCTGAAATGAGGCATGTTTGTGAAGGTGCATCAGTAGCATGTGCTGAAAGTTGACACTCATTCAAAGATCAACATCAAACGATTAATTTTTTTCAATTTAAATAAATATTTATAATTTTTACACAATTTTGTAATCGGAAAACTTTAAATAAATTTGCAGTCTGCACATGTTTTCTTTTTAATTTAAGTTTATCATGATCAACCGCTCAAGTATAAAACGGTAGAACGATCGACCATCAAAAGCGTCGACAGCTCCTTGAGCTATGGAGTACCTGTAAGCAGGCTGTAAAAACAAAAAGACGGAACAATACTATATAACTACACTGATGATGACAGCTGATGCCGAAAAGAGCTTTTCTGTAGTAATAACGTTATTAATAATGTTTTGTCACAAATGTCAAATATTAAAAGTTTTTTATTTAACTTTAATAAACTTCATCAAGATAATAGAAGTCTCGTTAGAAAAATTGAGAAACTCAACTGCAAGTTGAATAATGCCGAAAACGCAGTGATCTTTATAAATCTCAATAAGTGAACATGAAAATTAGTATAAAAATTTTAGAAAACATTTAAAGTTATATCTAAAAAAATATTCAAATTTTATAACAAAACACTGGGAGGTTCAGCATTGTGCGGGCCCGAAGGACTAAAAATAGGGGAGGCTCGAGCTCTTCCAATCCCCATGGAGTCAGCGCCTATGTATATGCTGGTGAAAGAAATGGATATATATAATATGGATATGGCAGACGCGTTATTTATATATATATATATATATTTATATATATATATTCTCGAGATATATATATATATATATAACATCGAGGGCAATCTAACAAATATTTGTTGAAAAGTGAATTTAAATTAAAGTAAACAATCAGTTTTTAGCCGGTTGTTTAACGATTATCGTTCTGGGTCATTCTCCGTCAACTTGAACGATTTAAAAAAAAGTCCACGCCCGACCATCTCCGATTTTTTTAAAATTTGAACAGTAAGTACCTCAATGTATTTCATCGACAAAATAAAATTTTTATAAAAAAATTTCAATTATTTTTCAAGTTATGAAGATTTTTGTGACAGCATCCTCAAATTTTTGAGCGATTTTTTTCAAAACTTGTACCTACGTAGAACGCTATATCTCTTGAACTAGCCAACATATCTTGATGAAATTTTTTGTGCATATCAGTGAAACAATGTAATAACAAAAAAAATAAATGTTATTGTCTCGAATCAAAGGATATTTTGAACAAAAAATCTAGAAAAAAATGAATTTTTTGAAAATTTCACCGATTTCAAATCAGCGTAGCTCAAAATCTATCGCAAAATAAATAAATATTTTTTGTTATTTTAGAAGTACCTTATAGTCACAAATAAATCACAAAATTTCGTTAAAATCTGTATTGAATTTTTTGAGCTATCGGAGCTCAAAATGTCAAAAAAATGAAAAACTTCTTTTGTTTGGCGCCATTTTTAACTATGAAGAACCAAACGTTTTTTAATTTTTAAAATTTGTTTATATAGTGCTTTTATAGCTTAACAACATATCAAAAAATAAAATTGGCGTTTGCTTTCTTTGAAAAATAAAACAACTTCAAAAACAGGCAAAACAAATTTTTTTCAAGTGTCAATTGTTTTTTTTTTTCAATTTAAAATTATTATACAACGTGTTAATGTGTTTAAAAACAGTTTCAGGAAGAGTTATGTGAATTTTTCCAACATAAGAAATGTTATCATCAGGTATAAGAATCAAAATATGTTTAAATGGTACATAGCAAATATCTACATTTTTAGGCCAATAAAAAATATTTTCTTTAAATTTCTTCAGACAGTTAATTTTTAAATCATCATTTTTATCATCTCTTTCTATAATGTTTCCTAAATACCATTTCATATTATAGACCAAAGCTACAAATCGACCCGGCTCATAATCATCATTGGTGTCTTCACTTTCATTTTTATTAAAATTGTATCCAAATAAATCTGAAGACAAACGTTTCATCAAAAGTTGATCATTTTTGTCTGGAATAAATGAGTGATGACTTCGACAACCCTTTATTTTATCTGCTGACCTAAATCTTTTTCAAGCATTTTTCCTAGCAGATCTTTAATTTCTTTTTTGTCTACCCAAAAAAATTTAATACCATTTATTTTCGCATCAGCGTATGTGTAAAAATCTCTGGCGTTCAATATCTGATCTTTTGTTGATGCCTGCAAACTTGCTCTTGCAACCAATCTTTTTGTTGTCCCTCCAATTCCATCGCAAGGACTTTTACCATGAAAAGTTGCAAAAAAGTGCCATTCTGCTTTTAATCCAAAATCCTCTTTGTGATGAATTAAATTAGAAAAATTTTTGTATTGACTTACCGCACCATCAGAAAAATATTAATTAAAGTAACGT